ATATATATACACATGCTTATAGTCTCATATACACACACACATATATATGCACACACATATATATACATACATGCTTATAGTCTCATATACACACACATGCACATACATACATACATATATATATACATGCACACACACACACACATACATGTATTCACACACAAATAGTATATTGTAAGAAAACTAGTACTTGGGACCAGCAGTTAGCATAATGGCTATGTCGCTGAACTCCCATGTAGTCGACCGCGGTTCGAGTCCCAGACCTGGTGACTTAAACTCATGCCGGACACGAGAGAAGAATGGAGAAGGGATTGCAGCGTGGCCGTCCTCCCTGGGGGTTATTTCTTGCTTTCTCTCTCTCTGTCTCCCTCTGTCTTTATGGAGAGTGCACTATAGGAAAAAAAAAAAAACTCTCAAAAAAATAAATTAGAAAAAGAAAACTAGTACTTGAAAGTCTATAAACTTTTCACAAATTACATACAATATTGGGTAACTAGTACTATATAAGAAATTAATACGTATCTTTCCATTAGTGTAAAAAGTGCGTTTTTCCCCTTCAGAGTTAGCTAACTTCAGGTAAAAGTAATCCTTTTATTTTTTGAGAGATTTTTGCTATAGGGTGCGTGTGCTCGCCAGAGAGACAGAAAGTGAGAAATCACCCTCCACCCATTCACTGGGGGGATGACCTTGCCATAATCCTTTCTCCTCCATTCTCCTCTCAAGATCTGAGACATGCACGCACATGCGTGAGTTTCAAGCCACTGGGTCCTGGACTCAAACTGCTACCGGCCACATGGGAATCCAGTGCCTTAAGCACCATGCCACCTGCTGGTCCTGGAAAATATACACTTTTATTCTAAAAATATACCGATAATTTTTGTAAAGGGTCCTTACAACACTTGGGCTGAATTTAATTAGAAAGATCAAGGTTTCTTGAATGTATTGATTAAGAAAGCTAAACAGTTTTCTGGACTGTGTTCTAAGTTCTTCCAAAACTCTTTTGGACACACAGTATTGAAGGAAATGTCACAGATTTTTTCGAAGCAAAATCCCCTCACTGCAGACAGATGACTTACCCACATTCTGGGGTCCGATGGGGCTAATAATACCCACCCTGCATAGCTCAAAGTGTTTGAGTAGGGGCCAAACGGTGTGTGCTCTGACATCAAGTAAGTCATTTACTGTTAATACTGCTTATAAAGCCTTGACCGGATTGAAATCAGATTACAGCCTAAGGGTCCTAACACTGTCTAAAGGGATCATTTTCTTAATTCACTTAATTATTTGTTTTCCAAAATATACTTTACATTTAATTCTAAGGGAACAGATTCATTTCATACAAGAAGCACGTCTTTCTTTCTATATTTCGATATCATTTTGCCTTTTTTAATGTTTTCTTTAACTTAATGAATTTTTTATTTTAATTTTGACTAGAGAGGGACAGAGTGAGTGAGTGAGAGAGAGAGAGAGAGAGAGAGAGAGAAAGTGAGAAAACAAGCCACCAGGTCCGGGACTCGAACCGTGGTTGGCCATATGGGAATTCATCGCCCTTAGCCACCATGCCACCTGCCAACACCCAATATTACTTTTCTTTAGAGACGAATCCGAAAACTATAGTTATTGTATATCGAATTTACAGTCTATTGGGATAATAGTAGATACTTATTTATACGTGCATTACATGAGAAGTGTAAAGAGGAATCCTTTATTTCACAGCTGTGTTAACACCGGTCCTTTCCCTCCTATCTGTCACTTACTCCCGCATGTTAGCAGGAGGTCACTAGGAATCTCAGCGTCCGAACAATGTATATTACTTGCACAGTCCTCGTCCTTCTTGGAAGCCAGACTTTGAAAGAGAAGCGGTCTCCACTTGGTCAGCCACGTTCACCCCTCTGACTATGCGCCAGCCTGTTCGGAATCTCCTCCTTCAGGTCCCCACTGACCTATTGGTTATGTTTTAGCCTCTTTCAGTCTTTAGTCACTCTCTCCAGGATTGACGTTATTACTGAATCTCGCAGTCACGTCCTCACTGACACTCTATTTGTTATTTTCTAGCCTCTTTTCAGTCTTTATCCAACTTAGTCCCTCTGTAGGATTCGACATTATTCATTGGTTTATCCATCTTGAAACTTGCTTCTCCATTGGCTTCTGGAATACTCTTCTTCTCATGGTTCTTCTGCTAGGTTGTCAGGGAAGTCATGACGTATCTTTCTGTGTTTTATATGCAAAAATGTGTCGTGACTTTCGGGGGGAGCCAGTATTTCTTCAGCTGCTCTTTTTCAGCCTGACAGTTCTTACTCCTATGTCTAGTCGTGGAATGTTTGCTGTCTGCTTGGTTCATATCTCCTCACCTGGCCTCACCTGCTTTCCTGGGGGATCTCATTTCAACTATTTCCATGGTTTTAATTACCATGTGTGCTATTTACAACCCATATCTCCAGCCCAGAATTTTCTCTTTTGTTTCTTTATTCCTTTTTAAAAATTTCATATATTTCTTCTTTTCTTTTAAAAAATTTCATATGTATGTTTCTTTATATATTTTTAAATCTTTGTATATAGTCACTTAATTGTGCATCGTTTAAAATAACATAGGTAGGGTCAGCAGGTGGCATGGTAGTTGAGGGCTCTGGACTCCCACGTGGCTGACCACAGTTAGAGTCCTGGACCTGGTGGCTTGCTTTCTCACTTTCTCTCCCCACTCCCATCCCTCTCTCTCTCTCACTCTGCCCATCACTGGTCAAATTAAAATAAATAAATAAATAAAAAGTTAAATAAAATAATTCTTTAAAAAAATAGATGGCCGGCCAGTGGGTGGCATGGTGTTAAGGCACTGGACACCCATGTGACCCAGCGCAGTCTGAGCCCCGGCTTGCTGGTCTGCTCTCTCACTCTCCCTTCCTCTCTCTCTCTTTCTCTCTGGTCAAATTGAAAAATAATAATAACAAATAAAATTAATAAATATTTTAAAAAGAGGGGGCCAGCAGATGGCATAATGATTACGTTGCTAGACTCCCACCGAGTTGACCACAGTTCGTGTCCTGGATATGGTAGCTTGAAACACCGGACACATGTGCGTGTGTGCCCAAAATCCCAAGAGGAAGGATTGCAGCGTGGCCATCGGCCCAGGTTATGAGTTCTCACTTTCTGTCTCTCTATGTCTCTGGCAAGCAAACACTCTATAGCAAAAATCACTCTCTCAAAAAAAAAAAAAA